GCATATCCAAAAATACGGGCAACTAATTATGGCGTTATAATGGATTTGTCCATTCGACTGTTATGACAAATCAGCTCACGACTAACACTAATATATTGCATCATATAATGGATGCCTGTTTAATGGAAGAGATCAGTAATTTACAAAGCGTATTGTTTGCAATCTGCAGATCATTGACGTGTATGGCAGCACTAAGTGACACCAGGTACCTTTACAAAATAAAAATACCTTCCCAGTGTCTTACGACGCACTTAATTTTTCTTACGCCACAGTGAGTTGACTCCCTCCCATTGACATGAATAAAAAGTCCATTGCAGTAACTAGTCCATTGCAGCAACTAGTCCATTGCAGCAACTAGTCCATTGCAGGTTACGCCATTAAATGGTTAGACTATTAGTATTAAATGGACTACGGAACAATAAAAATTTAACTTAAGTGACAATATTATGGCGACACGGCCATTACGCTCAATGGTATTATTTAATTATTTCATATGCCATAATGGAAACAGAATATGTAAAACGATTTAATACAACCATCCTCATACCGCGACTTATAATGTACAGCGTATATGTAAACATTATATGTTAAAACGTATACACTGAGCCGAGATTTAAACGTTATATAAACCTCCCCTCTCCTTCCCTCATCAGACATTCCAATCCAAGCTATCAAGCAGCATCAAACAGCATCAAACAACATCAAACAACATCAAACACTTCTATCAATTATTCATAATACCTACCATGACAATCCGTGCATTTATTGATAATAACCTTAACGAGAGTGAGCTCGAACAGCTCGCCAATCCACCACTCGAATTGTCCCTTCCGCTTGAGGAATTGCTAAAATTACCCAAGGAATGCCAACCGTTAAAGGGTTTTTTTATATACCGCAGAAATTACGTGGCAAGCTTTCCAGACGGGGAAAGGCCAGGCTGCGTCGAAGTAACCAGAACGGCTGCTGCCAAGTGGATGGCAGAACGCACAGACGTGCGATTATACTTTAATTTTCTCGCACAAATAATGAAAAAATACGTAAAATCACTTTCGGCCGCTGAACAGACCGAACCGACCAGTAAGCATAGTCTACAGAATCGTGGTTGTTGTTCTTGTTCATATCGTTTGTCTTTACTCATAAACTGTCAATTTTGGTTGATGTTACAGAAACGCAGCCAGTGGCATCTCCCCAGGAGCCATTGGCTACCTCCGACGGCTGGCCAGAATTTTGGCATCATCCATTTCCGTTTAATACGGAAATTCCAGAGGCCGATAATAATGAAGTATTTTCCGAGGCCGTGTACAGTGACATTTTTTCAGAGGCCGGATATAATGAAGTTCCTCCAGAAGGGACTTTTTATTATAAATTTTCCCCCGAAATTATGTATGATTGTAACGAATTTTCCCCAGACATCATGTGTAATGAAGTTCCTCCAGACGGGACTTTTTATTATGAATTTTCCCCCGAAATCATGTATGATTGTAACGAATTTCCCCCAGACATCATGTGTAATGAAGTTCCTCCAGAAGGGACTTTTTATTATAAATTTTCCTCCGAAATCATGTATGATTGTAACGAATTTTTCCCAGACATTATGTGTAATGAAGTTCCTCCAGACGGGACTTTTTATTATGAATTTTCCCCCGAAATCATGTATGATTATAACGAATTCCCCCCAGACATCATGTGTAATGAAATTGACCCTCAAACTGAAGGGTCCTTGCGCAGACAATAATTTGTTAAGTCGTACATTTCGACTCGTATATTGCCGTTAGCATTTGATTTTTCCACCACAAATTAAGTTTTAAAATATTATGTTTAATTTTTTTGAAATATTTTATAAATTACATGATAAGAACGTGATAAGATATATTAATATAAATATAATAAGCATAGGTTACATTTTAAATTAAGCAACAACAATAAACAGCACAGTAAGCATTGTATATGAATATGTTATCAAATTTGTAGTGCTGGTTAATATTAAATCGATACACGTATCGATTCCTAGCATTGTATGTGTTATTGCCAACATTATGTATTTCATATTTTTCTTCACAATGGGGAGAGCCAATTATAGGAGAAATGACAATTCAAATGCAACAGTCTTCATTAAGTTGTAAAATTCATCGACTCAGATGTCGACACATTTCTCACATTGATTTTACCTGTCCCTGTACCAAATTTCCAAAGAGTTGACACTTTAAGGCCATGTCTAATAATTTGAATCGAAAAAGGAGAATAAATAATGCAAATTTATCAGTTATTAATTTAGAAAGTTTGTTAGAACTCATTAAGCAAATGTTAGAAAAGTAAATAGAGTTTAGGCATAAATTCGTGTTAATGCTACTTTTAATATCTGATAAACAAAGGACTTGAAAAGAGATTATTTTGCCGTTGTGGAGTTTCTGATTTTTGATGCTGATATTGATAATGACCGTTGCAAGGTTTCTCATTAGAACCCATGACAAGTCACTTTGCGTCAGAAATATATACGTATATCGCATCGTCGAGGACTCGTGCTTGATATGTTGAATTATTGATATAATTTTATCCATGAAAATATTAATCAACCGGATATAACTTAAAGTAGTAATAGTAAGGTTAATGCATAGACGGTTTATTTAAAGCTATGGAGTGTTTATAGATCAATTACGCAGAAAGCGAAACGAGAATCTAATTAATATTATACAGTAAACGATTATTAGTTTAAATACGGACAAGTGACATTTAATCCGATTAATCGAAATTACCAAATCGAAGTTTTAGATTAAAATATAAATTTTTATCGATTTTGTGATATGATAATTGTTTTTATTGTTATATTATAAGTACTTTTGTTTGAATACAAGTACAGAAAGTACATTATATAGGGGCGTATAAATGTAATAAATTAAGCTTGTAGAATTAAATTCAATCGCGAGTAACAATTACCAGAAACAAAGCGGTGGGCTAAAGTTAATTTTGTAACATCTCGAACAGTCTACGCGAAAAATATTCGCTCTCTGACTACCGATCTCAGTGCATTTTTCAAAGTAAATATGTACTGCTTTAATAAACGAATATTTTTGCAATTCTATTACGAGAACAGTAAGACTTAAATTAACAATTTCCGTTTCTGTAAAGCAGAGTAAAGTTATGCATATTTTGTTACGTGCATAGAAGTAAATGTGTAGAAAGTACATGAGCGACCGGATATTTTATATGACAAATTTCGTTCAGTATATAGAGGAAATTCATGCGCTCAAAAACCATTTCCGACAATTTGGGTATAGCAAGAACTGGGATAATATAAAAAGCTTCATTGTATTTGAATGTGACATAGCATGCATCGATACCTGCAGACAATGTATAATGTCAAGTGGCAAGCTTTTCTATGTTGTGCCACCAGTGCTCATCCACGCAGTCACCTGACGGCTATAGGCCAGACTTACTTGAACATACTAGACGATGCCAGTGATGCCTCTAGCACAAGAACAAAATTCATTCAGCCTGTAATGACGCAAGAAACGACTACAATAATACAGAAATGATGGAGATTTCTCCAGTATCATCAGTAGTAAATGTGGTGGATAAAATGTAGAAAGAAAAGAAATAATGGAAGCTAACAGTATGGATAGAGAAATAAAGATGCACGCTCCAGTCTCAAAGTCTCATTCCTCACATTTGCAATTACCGCAAAAATTAATACAACAGGTTATGCATTCGAATATTTAAAAAATCGGTAAAAATTAATCCGCAGATAATCTACACAATTTATACTAAAACCAGAAAGAAGTGCTATCAAGTTTGTAAAGTGCTGTCCGAAATATCTTGCTTCTTCGTTGAGAAATGTAATTTGAAATTTAGAATGTAATATCGACTATTTCGAATTTGCAAACATTGGCATTACGAGCAATGCAATTACTGTGAATTTAATACTGAAGTTAGCGCGTCAAGTGCATAGCGTATTTACAAAAAATTCCAACGTGCTAGCTAGTAATATAACAAAGTAATTTTTATTCAACCCGAAAGTTGATAATTATATATTCGTATGCAGCGCGACCGTAACTGTATCTGACGCATTAATTAAAATTGTTTGCAGTGTCGTTTTGTTTAGTACATTTCGTATAGATACCGAAAGAGATTGCCAAATTAACCTGCTAATTTCTCCCAGGACTTCAATTGACAAAAGCACAAAACCCACGTGTTCAGAATTATTAAATTATAAAGATGACTGAAAAATAGTAGTAATAAAGACTATGGATTTAAAGTATTTTGATACTTAGTAGGATTTCCTTCGCTCTATTCAGACGTGCCGCAATTACTGCTTCCAAAAAGTGTAAAGTCTAATTGTGAACTAGGTGACACAGCTGTTTGTGTAAGCAATAAGGTTAACATTTTGTGAATACATCCTAATTCATATCCCTTCTTATTCCCCTTTACTCTCTACAACGAACCTATACATTCTTTTAATTATTCAATAACGAAAGGTATCTATAGAATGTACCAAATATGCGTAAAACCACACTGCAAACAGATTTAATTAATGCGTAAAACACTAAACTTTACATTTTCATGACTTGTGGCCGGTTACCGTTTTTTTTTTGTTGAAAATTCACGTATAAGTGTATTTGAAAGAGTTTGAAATTGATATTTGTATGATAGGCCAGAAAAACTTATCGAACACGTAGCATTCTGGGATTAGATGGTGTCAGGAGAATGAGTATACTTCTTGGCAGGTACGAGGGGGAAGCATCGAAAATTGAAGCATCAGAAATGTGGGCGGTTGAATGAAGTTAGAGAAAGAGTGATTGAAGCCGCAGAAGCCGTTGGGAAAATAAAAAGAATGAGAGGAGCGAATTCTCAAGTAAGAATCGTTGAGCAATCAGGGTTTAACGTTTCGGGTGCTTCGGAGTGCTTCCTATTACACTTCGAATACTATGGTTTTTTGAAATTTTAACATTCTCAAGTTCAGCACTAGTTTATCTTTTTTCCACAGCTTGAAGCCTTCTTGCGTATTAACGACTCGTCATTTTCAACTGCAGACGAAGATCAACAATCGATCCATCACAAGTTTCTGTCACTCTCGTTTCACCTCGTTTCGCACCATTGCCTAAACTCCAGCGTCAGCAATTCGCACGTCTCATTCCGCAGAACCGCCGTTCCTATCATCGTCGCCTTCTTCGACTACTTCAACATTATCCCAATTTTCATCACCATCATCTGTATCACTATCGTTCTTCCAGTCAACATGATATAATCTCGGTACACCTATCAGTATTTGTTGGAAATGTTGAAGATGATGAGGTGGAATCCAAAACGCGGAACTGAGAAATGAAAGTAATGTGAATGTCATGGGAAGGAACACCATTAACAACCTCTTGCCCTCCTTGATCTTGCCAGTTTCCTCTCAGGTAGCTTAAACCTTTCGTATCAATTTTTTGGAAATCTCAAGCACTTCTTCTCTCTAACCAATCATTTCCATTAACAGTTATTCCGTATTCAAAAAATAGATGCCCCGCCGGCCTGTTGAGGAATTCCCTGTTATGAGTTCGAACCTTCGGATAAAATCGCGAAGGGCTAATGGTTGTGCTGGAGAATGACAGCCTGTTCAAGATGGATGTTTGAGTGAAAAGATTAAGACCGGAAGAGATAAACCTATAAATATTGTATGTTTTTTGTTACATCTCGTCATGAATGAAAACAGTCGTTTCAGTAGTTTGCTGATTAAATGAGTTTATGAAAAGTAATTATAATATTAACAAAGTCATTATATATGCAATCGTTCAGCCACGGCAACTGAAGAAGGGAGAACGCTTTTGAATGCCTTGAACCTTTCCCACGCGCGGCTGAAATAACAAAACAGTTTTTCTGGGAAAAGTATCCGAACAAAACAGCGTAATCGACTGTGGAACCAATTGCAAAAGCAGATTCGAAGGACACACACTGCACTATATAAACGGGAGAAATACTTTAGTCGGTCAATCACGTATACACAATAAACGATATGATGTTCCTTGTACTCGAAGAATCACTTACATTCGAGGTGATAAGAGAGATTATATTGGTGTGGTGTAAAACGAGCATATGCGCTTAAAAGGCACGGAGTGTAGGGCATTTGCCTACGTTACTAAAGAGATGACTGAAGCACCAAGTACAGAAATTCGGCGTTTTACCTTCCCATCTACTGCATGATCTGACAAGCCTGAGAAGCTGAAAAAGGATTTAGCCTGAATTGTAACTGAATACGTGCGTCAATCCAAATCCAATCAGAAGTATTTGTCAACTAAATTTCACATTCATCAGACGTGATCTCTGATAGTAACTATCGTTTATTCTATAACATGTGGAATAGTTAAGATACTGAAAAACCTATCTTGTGTCAAGGAACAGACCTTCAATTTACGGTGCATAATATGATCTCGCGTCTTTCGACTGAGGTGTGTGATTAAGTATTCTGAGAGATCCTTACTGGTGATGTGTATAATTGGATGGTGTATTTCTTGGAATATTATAGGATGAGCCTTTGGAGAAAGCCGTCGACCCAAATATTAGCAATGTGGAAATATGCTCTTTGGAAGGCTGCGATCCCTTACCCTTTTAAAACCGGAGCTTACAGTGATTCTAATATATCGGGCGATTGTTTATTTCATCAATGTAAAATGATTGCATATGAGGGCAACTCCTTCACAACAGAGAAGAACAACCAGCAGGATTAAATACCAAAGATTGATATCTTTATTGACAACATTAAGTTTAAAGATTACATGAATAAGAAATAGAAATTGGAACAGCTTGTAAAAGAGAATAATGAAGACTGAATGAAACACGAGGCGAAAAAGAAATACATCCGTTTATAAGAATTTCGCCTAATAAAAGAAATTTGTAGAGACGATGCCCATACTTTTTACTATATAATCTAATTAAAATAACAAATAACCAACTTCAATAAAACCATCCGCCCGGACAACAAGGTTGTTAAATTGGACCTCCCCCTCATCTCGTCCATCATCAGATATTTGTGCTGTCATGACTATTGGAATCAGCCGGCCTGTACCAAACTGGAGACTTTGCCCGCTCCAATTTTACTCTTCTTCCCTCCATCAACGGCAGAGACGCTTCATCCGTTTCATCTCCTTCCCTACCGCGAGGTAAAATGTCCCAAACTTATCCATTGAATAATAGTACTCTTCTTCCCTCCATCAACGGCAGAAACGCTTCATCTTCTTTCCTACCGCGAGGTAAAATGTCCCAAACTTATCCATGATAATAGTATGTCGTCTCAACCAGCCGTCCTCCTCGGTGTGCATTATTTAATAAATTACATAAACGCCAAGAGCTTTGACTTGGATGACGTTTGTATTATTATTATCGAGAGTGTAGTATTTAAAAGAGAAGGCGCATAATGATAATGCATTTGGATAAATGTCTTTAGATGGAGGACATATCTTGTCCTCGTTATTATATTCAACCTTTTCAACATGAGGATTTTTGACGGTCGGGACAGCTCCTTGCTATTGTTAAGGATAGAAGCAGGGATAAATGGAGGGATAAATGGAGGAGGATGCAGGGATAAATGTCACAACATCTGCTGCGTGACTAGCCGATCACTTCTATTAAAGGGGCGCAAGTCCGGATTAGGTATGGTCAGTATCCTAAGGCATCAAGCGGAAGGAAAAAGCACTGCAATTGTCAAATTCAGTAGTAATCTACTTACCTGAAAGTTTGTCTACGTCGCGTAATTAATCCGCTGTTGTCCTCAAACGCACTAATAGAATCTATGGCCAATTGACATAGGAATATGTTTTTCGTATACCTTGCATTACCTGGTCCAACACACCTCTATCCTGCTTAATCTATTGTTTTTACGAAACTTTCGTGGTCGATATGTAATTATAGGTACACTGGAACGAGAAGAGAAGCATATTTCAAGGAAGGGAATAACACCATGAAGTTTTCCACAACGACGCATTGGCTGCAATCGCAAGAAAAACAAACTACGTGAAGAAGTTTGTACTTGCTGAAATTACACGTAGTGAGAAGTAATGAACCAAACCGGGAGCTTAAAATCCCGTAAGAAAAAACTACGCAAAGCGCACTTGTTGTACTTGCTACAATAACAAGAGGCGCACGTGGGAAGGTAATTCTACATGTTATAGAATAAAACGATAGTTACTATGAGATATCATAATTGACGCGTCAGTGTAGAATTAGTGACTTATACGTGTCCAAATGCTTCTGGCATGGATTTGGAATTGGATTTACGCATTTATTTCATATGCCACAGTTATCTTCACGTTCCAATTCAAGCGAAGTCCCTTTCCGGTTCCATCATTCTTCTCGAGCTTTTCAGATCATGCAGTAGACGGGAAGATAAATCGGACGTGGTGCTTCAGTCATTCCTATGGGCATAAATACATAGCCTGCCTGATCCCGTGCCTTCTAAGCACATATTTCTCGTTTTACGTCACATCAATATATCTCACTTCTCTATCACAGCGAATGTAACTGATGCTTTCTATTACGATGGACATTCTATCGTTCATTCCCATACTTGATCACCTTGCACGAAGAGTTGTTGATTACGTAAATTAGAATTTTGGTTCCTTGATATTTTTGCGGCGGCCAAAGATCCTAACTCACCAGTATGTTTTCCATAAACAGGCAACCGCATGCGTCCTATAATAATTTTGATTGTACGTGGGTCTTTCCAGTCTCTCAATCGCTTACGCACCTAATTCCATATCCTACAGTTATCTGCTCTGTATAATTCCTCTCTTCATTCTTCTCCGTAGCGCGATTCTAATCTCCAATAACAATTCCCAAGACAAGTAGATTTAATCGATGACTCGACGCTTACCAGAAAAGAGCACTGCATGCTAGTTACATTCTCAAATTATATGCTCACCTTATGCTCAGCCTGGCAAAAGTAATCTAATATGAATTAGAATATACGTTTCGCTTTTGAGTATAGATGGAGTGATGGGAAAAGGCGGCATTGGCAAAAAGGATATATGGCCATATCTATTCCAATGTATACGATCGAATCAATGGGGGGGAGGTAATCCAACAGAAGTGTCGGCGAATGCTGGCTGATGCAATACGTTCGTTTTAACGTTAGAGTTCGTTTTTTTTTTGGTAGATTCTATCGGTATGTGATAGGAATATTAATATCATGTAAATAAAACGGATAGTTGATCTGCGCGTGTGAAAATGTCTGCACATGCGTTAAATACGTCACGCGCTTTCAATTAACAAAATATTTGGACTTGAACAATAGATTTCGTTTTTACCTTTCAAACAAGTTATTGATTGCTACAGTAGTTGTCCTTTTTTAATTCCGGTTTTTTCGAGACAGACTGTATCTCAGTATTTGTAGGTAGTGAGTGATGATGCATAGTGACAGCATTTACATTTACTGACACATCAACATTTCAATGATCTAATCAATGTCTAGTACATTATTCTGACAGCACATTCCCAATTCCCGCTAGTCTTTAAGCTGCCAAAGCTCTTTGACGAGTTTCTCGGTAAGTCGCAAATTTCCAATCGGCGATTGTTGGGTTAACACAAAAAAGTGATTAGAAATATAAAGTTTTCCGTCACCCCTCTTATCTTCAACTTCGGTCACCATCTTCCCCCTTTTCCCCTTGTTATGCCTGAGTGCTTTTGCACTATAAAATTGTATGTATTCGATCAGTCTTATCCGGGTATCCTTGCTGATCTCACAATTAGTTTCCAAACTACACCAAGTTTTCGTCTTAATATGATAACGCCGTCTCCCACATTATCATCAGTTACTAAGTGTTCCTTCAGCTTTCATCCAGTTTTCGCTAACGATCGTCCTACACAGCGTATCAAACCACCACCTTCCTTTTCTACCCTATTGATTCACCACCAAAGTCTATCTGTAAGCCAATTTTTCCTTCCCAGAGCTTGTTCTGTCCCTTCCAGCCCATCCTCGTTGTTAGATGAATGAAGAGCAGTCGAATAATGAAAGAAATTCCACAATGCAGGTTGCCGGGTATGAATACGGGCTGGAATAACAAAAATAGTAATTTATCGGGAAAAGAACTTTACATATAACCTTTATGGAAAGTGATTGTTGTGGCACCCGCTGATAATGCACACAAACCACGTGATAACTTTTTTTTTCACATTTCATAGTGAATAGACACATATTTTTTGTTTCGCTCCGGTAGCCACCCACTTTATATTTAAGTATAGATTTTACAAACGGTATTTATTGCGTGGCTGGATATCACGTCATGTTTTAAGATAAGAAACCCGACTCTACGATGACCATACCGCTGAAGAAGTTCCACTTTCTGTTAACACGAACGGTGTCGAAAAAGATCTGATATGCGAGGAAGAGGATACTCGCAATAATTTCCGATATTGAAGCCATTCTTGGCATGGCCTGTCGATTATTGGGCGGTAATATCCAAAGATGTGAATGTAAATAGTGATTAGACGGGTAAGGATGATATCAACGGAGTTGTAGATACCATGGTTGCGAACAATAGTTTGGCTAACATTTGCAAGCCTGGCTTTATACATATAATACTCTGTCCATATTTGCTCAACGATTAGATTAAACCAAGTCATTTAATATTGATTCTTTGTCGTTTTCCAGAAAATTCAAATAACTGGCAAGAAACGTTATATCGAACAAGCTAAGAAAAGGCGGTAATGTATTGGATTTGCTGTTATCGTATATAACAATACATAATTATACATAAATATAACATAGTATGCACTTTTAAAAACATGTAGCTTCGCCGTCGTAGACATCTTGGGATGTCGCTCTTACATTATCCTGAAAGACGGTCTGGTTTAAGGCTAGTTTCGTTCACACGACTATTTCAAAACCTGGTCAGGAATGTAGGGAAAAAAGCCTTTGTCTTGGTGGCACCCGTCCAAAATCCGGTCAAAGAAAAGTACTTTTTAACAAACAAGTCGGCGAATTCGTCAGCACAACAGAGCAACTCGTCAGGCTATGATTTTCCGTCTCCTCAACAATCGGCATCACCTCAGTCGTGTGTATATCCTCAGTCATCGGTATATTCTCAGTCATCGGTATATTCTCGGTCACCAGTATCTCGTCAATCATCGGCATCTCAATCATCATCTTCTCAGCCTCAGTCATCGGAGTCACAAGCATCTCGTGATCATCGGCATCTCGTCATCATCGGCATATCATCTCTTCAGTCTCCTCAGTCATATGTATATTCTCAGCCATCGTCATCTCAACATCGGCATATTCACCATCTCTTCATGCACGTATTGAAGCCGGGATTCGTCCAACAGAGGAGGAAAGTTGGCTCGGAAACAGGCCAAGAAACAACAGCTAGCTGAAATGAGAAAATGGAGGGCTTTCGGCACGGTGAAATTGGTTTTGTATCCGGCAGTTCCAGGCGACTGCCCGATGACAACGCTTTCGAAATGTCCCGACTGGCGATACTTACAGAGGTTGACAGCACCCCATCATCCCAAATATCGTGAACGAATATACTGGTAGTGGATCCGGATTACACCGGGCAAGTTGTACGTTGATATTCGATTTAAGTTGTACGGTTTTTCGTGTAATGAAAATCAATTAACCTAATTACTTTTATCTTCTTTTTGTTTGATATGATTAGACTTCGTGAATTCAATTTTGATCATATGAAAAAAATCTTCAGCGAAGCGTAAGTATTATTTGATGGCAATATTGTGACTATAAACGGAATTATATGTCCGTGTATTATCAAACATTGTCAACGAAGTTTACGTTTGCGAATAACCAATAATTACTAAAACTCTTCGATTACGCAATTTTAGTTTGGTCTTTCAAGACGTCCCCTCGGACGTGGGAATACTACGAAGTCGACGGCTTGAATGGTCGGTATAAAATGAATCATACATTCCATAACTGTAAGTGAGCGAAAGGAATTTTATTGATATAAACACTTGCGTGTTCTTAATGTCGCAAAGCCTTCATACCGCGACATGGGAGAAGAATTCGCACCAACCGACATGCTTACAGGGGATATTCAAAGCAACTCTACACCAAGGCACGAGCAAGGGCCAATACAATTGGTTCGAGAGTCTGATTGACAAGAGCGTGCTGAAACAATCATTGGCGCGCGAGAGGATAGATGTAACTGTGACGCGTGATAACGTAATATAATATAAGCAATTTATAAGGTCATAAACAATGAATATGATTAGTTTTTACAGGCATGTAAAAATAGTAAAGAAGTTTAAATCATTTCATAACCCATCATGTTGATATGGTATTTTGGTAATTTATGATAATAAAAACCATGATGTTCGTGACAAGCATTGCCAAAAGTAATTTCCGACATTGAAGGTGATTACTTTACACGTACATCCATATAATTAGTTATCGTACCCTTATTTAAAAGTACCTGGACCATTTTTAAAATCAAAATTACTGCCCTACTATCACAAATATGCGTTATCATCAATTGATTAAGAAACCATGCTGTATGCTTGGACGCATTATAACAAACATAAATCTACATACCCGTTGACTTGACAGATTCTTGCGCGGTTCAGAAAAATATAAATGGAGCAATCGAGAAGATACGGTAAATAACGCTTTCTTTTTCTCGATTAGAGAATTTGTTATATAATTCAAGACAATCTAATATTTCATCGAAGATATCCTCCCGTATTAATTAAAACTGCTCTCGCTGGACGAGTCAAGCGTTTGCTAGCGTAGTTGGGGAAAGTCTTTCCAAACTCCATCACGGACGGCATTGATTCTTTTATCAGATCCCCATGAAGATGTCAGTCAATAAGCATTAGTTACTATCGTTATCGCAACTGCATAAGTATAACACGAAGAAGTACTACACCATTAAAGGATTCTGTAATCTTGATCTTGCCCATTCACTCATTATTAAATAATAGACAGCATCTTGAGTTGAGGTTACCTGACGGCTGATCTAAGAACTGAATTAATGCTTCGGTTGCCAATTCGTGTGCTTTTTTCACACACCAAAATAATTCGATAACAAGATTGATCAATGGCAGGAGAGACTTGAAGACGTTTCGTCAATAAAGCAAAATCTATATCAATCTATGCAGGCTAGATTTGCAGGCTAGATTTTCGGAAAACTTACTCGAATGCCTAATTGGGCGCCATCCAACTTTCCATACACTTAAAGCTCTTTTGCTTCATAAAAGACTTCGCTGCGATCAATCATTTGAGCCCGACGTCGTCGACATTACCAATGGAATTATACATGCACATATGTAAACGTGTTTATACACTGACACGCCCATCATCCAAGTGAGCATGAGCATTAGTATGGAAACTATCAGCGCCAGTAACCCATAGCTAAGCTAATTCTGTAGTAATTCTCCCATGTGTTTGAAGATATGTAGATACCTCTTGAGCTTTCTGTTGCCATAAAGTTCTGGGTTGCGCATAAATCGGGTCAATGAGATAGATAAATAATTCCGTGTGCATATTCATAGAAATTTGATTATTTTCCAAGTTTTGGCCCAAGTTGTGCGAAATTCCATACATTCGTTCGGTAAGTCTGCACGTGATGCAAGTCTTTGCTATTTCAAGGATCGTCATTTTCTCTGCTCTGGTCACGTACAAATCCAGAAAGGTCGATTTTTCCGACGACACTAATGACCGGTAATACTGATTACGAGGCGGTCATATCTTCAATGGATTCAACCTGATTGTCTCGACAATTTAGAAGAGGAGATTAGATGGGAGGACATTATTTGGGGGTAGGGGTTGATGCTCTCCTATAAGCTAGCTTCATGAGGGAAATATAGAACGTTTATGCTGTCGAATTCGTTAGTTTACCTAAGAACTTTGAATTATGTCTCGATTATCATGCAGTTCCCAATTTAAGATCTTATGACAGAGCTTGCCAAACGAGTTGGCGATTTCGCAACAGGCGGTTGGCACATTTGAATCGCATCCAAGAAAGAATGAGTAAAACGGAGGTGTGTTAGGACGATGGTGGACATGAGGAGTGGTGCCATGGTGGCAGTTGTATCGAGACCCAACAGGGCTAGTATATTTCTGTCGACTAACGTACATACGTATATTTGTAGTCGGAGAAAACCACAATGCAATCGAATATGAAGAGTTAGACGAACAAGACTTGAACTCTCTGGCTGATTGATCCGGTTACTTTTGGAAAAGATAAAGATAGATTTGACACTCGATCTTTTGTTATGTGTTGCTTGTTACTATGATTCAAAACCATCTATAATTGTTCTCAGATTCGTCTTCACAGAAAAAACAAGCGATGATATTGATGAGCGAGAAATAAAGTTTGAGAATGGGATCGCCCCAATTCGTCCAGTGCCATCGGCAGCCACTCCGTTATCATTTCTTCCATACAGTAATACAGATAAGCTTAGGCTTTAGCGTGATGAGATGGTGATTAAGTGGGGGGTAGTTCTCAACATAATGTGCGTCATCAATCCAACATCACATGTCAATAATTTCTACTTCACCGGAAACCGTTTATTTTATGTGTCAGTACAAACACGCAGTCTTCGTACCTTCCAGAGATCGATGACTGTTCTGAAGCTCTTGCAGTTTCACTTGCTCACCGTCGTGCTCTGTCCGGCGGCTCATCTGAGATTAAAGAAAGATTGCTCCAGAAAATTCATTAGGATTGCGAAAGAATGAATCTGAGAGTATGTAAAATACATGTCTCCACATTCCATCTTCTATATCCAGCCTGCTTCGCGAGTAATAAGTAAAGAGCGAATGCAAAAATAAAAATTTAAGAGTTGAGATTCCCTCCAACTGAAGAATGTTATTCAGATATTAAATAGAACCTTCAAAAAACTCCATTTTCATTATAGTCTAGGTCAGTAGCAGTTTAATTGTTATAAAAAAAATCTAATACGAATAAATTAGCAAGTCAGACATTATAACACGAATATTTGAACAAGCCAACACACAAGACCAACGCAGAACCCACTAAATAATCAAAAACCAAAGGGGTTTGCGGAAATGTAAACTTGGAAAAGCGAATCGCTCTCTAACTATGCCAACTCTATCTAGTTACTAATTGATGATTACGGGTATGCGTTAATAAAAAATTGTCGCGGCTGATGCTGAAACCATGACTTTTTATTGGTTGATCAAATGTTATTCTTTAATTCCATTGGCTTCAGCCGGATTTCAGCATCAGCTTTAGCGTATTTTTTTTTCACTTACGAAACTCGACGCAAGGGGCACGCTTAACATTTACGGCTGGCTTCAAAACATAAATGTACTATTACATTACCGTTACAGGTCACGGTTATGGGTAATAATAATATTCCCATTTATAGTAAATAATGTAAAATCAGCGGAATTAACAGCTTATAACTATATTAAGATATTAATGTATTAATGTTCTGATGGTCATGTAATTCTGTTCCCATGATCGATTTCACGATTATGTACTGTATGTATTCTATATCAATATTCTACCGGTTATTATTAGATGTGTAACAATAATGCAATTCATGCTACTAAACAAAGATACATCCTCTTTTTCCATATCACATTGATAAGCCACCGTAAGAATGTGGGTGACAATCATATGATTACTGCTATAATAATTTGAGCAAAAAAAAAAAAAGCAAGGTGTTCTCACAGTCCACAAGCAAGAAGAATTTCATACCAACGAAGTCCTCGATTGAACGAATAGCAACTATGTATCTTCCTGTTTGAACGGATATCTATCTTCGCTCGGTTGAACGGATGGTGACTCCGTGATTTGATCGTCGCACATGTATAAAGAATGTCACAGTTATCCATATAAGGCAAAGGCGTGTGTAATTTATCATAATCAGGCCAACATTTATATTTATTGATCAATACAGAACAGCAAAAAGCCCAAATTATAAAATGGTATTGATTGAAGTACGAGTGGACTCTAGAAAAAGCTGTAGAAGTTTATCCGCTTCGTGGGATAAAAACTTCATTTTGGCATATAGTTGGAGGGGGAGGAAGCACAGCTTATTGTATGTACACCTAGACATGTTACCTGCCGAACGATGGAAGAGTGTGTTAACTACATCATCTTAAATTAGAAGTTTAAAAACGAAAGCGCAAGCGTTTGTTACCGCATTATTTATTTCATAGGTTGCTGAATTTAACAAACGAGATATAAGTGTATTGTACGTAGAAAAAGCTTAACGTCAAACAATAAAAAGTTATTTACTCACGACAACTTGGTACATAATGTTCGTGAGCCTATATGGCTATATTACCCACTTTTCTTTCCAGGTCTATATAAACAACTTCTATTGATACACAAGTATAGTATAAATTCAGTATCTATTACTTCATATGTCAAGTGCATATGTATTTCCAATTTAATACGGACAAGTTTGTTCTGATTTACGTTCTGATAAGTTATCGCATAAGTATTGGTGCTTTTCAGGTTGCCACAATGTTTGTTTATTGCTACAAGTTTTAGACTATTTAAGATACACTTTCGCTACTTTCCAAACCCATTGAGACCACGCTATCATCTTATGTATCAATAACAAGAGCATCAGTATACAGTCCACAGTTTTCTCCCGACTCAGTACCTACTTGTTTGTTGCTAGCAAAAATACACATTAGGTGTTATTCAGATACTGACGTTTTAATTAATAGTTAATGTAGCGATAGCACAAGCGTTGTTTATGGTTATATAACATGCGCTCAACTATAAAGTTGTAATTATTAAAACTCAATCTATCAGATAAAAAGAATGCATTCAATGTATATGGTATACCCAGTCCGATATGACTAGTCATGGGACCCGGACCCATTCGAGAAGATATGTTACAGGTCAAGTCTGTTATCATAGTGACGATCACGTATTATATCCAGCATATATTTCTCCAACATTGTTAAGATGCTAGTACTGGTGGCACAGATGACAGTACCTGATATGCAGTAGATAATACATTGTAGAAATTCAATAATCTTGTATATATAAAATACGTATACGTACTTACATATTATTGGATAAATCAAACATCAAACAATATCAAAATGCCTCATAATATTTATAATCTACAGTATATTAGAATACCGTTATCATGCATAGACGCTGTTTCTT